GACTAAGGGTGATCACGCTGGATTAAAGCTGAGTCTAAGCTTCCATATTAACCCCCCACACACACACACACACACACACACACACACACACACACCTCCCTCGGGGGAGTCTATCTCGTCCCACTTTCGATTTAAATATACTAATTTATACAAATAACGCGCCTAAAACAAGCTTCCGTGTCGTTTATCCTCTGCTGACGCTGTTTCTGGCCCGAGCTGCGTGTCTGCCACCTATAATCACTTGGACACATGTGTGCCGCAGGAAACAGCTGGCTCTGCAGTCCATGCGTTCCTACGAGGAGCAGCAGAAGAAGGAAAACGGCGCTTCGGACGACTCCTCCTGCGAGCAGGCCTCCTTTAAATGCTTCGGCCAGGCCTCCTCCCCCGCCGTGTCCACAGTGGGCCCCCCACACCTGAAAGGTATATATGAATGAAGGAGACGTACAGACCGCACAGCTTTCATCACAAGCCGTAAAATTAACGTAATGGGACGTTGTGCAGTGTTTTACAAAGCAGAAAAACGTTGTGATCGTGGCCTCTTTATGATAGAAATGATGTTTAGTTTTCACTTCAAGGCTTTTCTAATTAAAATGAACAACAAATATGGTGGAAAAACAAATCTATATTCTCACTAATTGATGACACTAATCAGTTTTGACATCATATCCACGCGCTTTTAATGATTGCCAAAATACATTAAAAAGGCTTTTCGGTGTTTGAAATAATCAATGTTTAACTCGCTTAGTGCTTCTTATTAGTCAGCAGTGTCTTTTGATAGTGCGCATTTATCCCCCCCCCCACCCCCCTCTGAGAGTCAGCACCGTGGAGAACTGATACTTTCCCTCCTCCTCCTACTCCTCATAGATTTCTGTGACAGCGACGAGGACAGCGATGACGAGAGCAAAGATGGACACAACAAAGATGGGCCAGACTCCAGCAAGATCTCCACCACCACAGGGGACGGGAAGAACCACGAGGCCAGCCCAGCGAAGGGCCATCCCTTCGGCAGCAATGACTCCGGCGGCAGGACGCGCGACGGCGGCCCCAGGACGGAGAAGAGCCAGGCGGACTCGCGGCAGAGTCCCATCACCGTCATCTCCAGCACCACGCGCTCGGGAGAAGACTTGAAGAGCCCGAACCTGGACCAGTCCAAGACGGACGAATGTAGCAGGTCGATAAGCAAGGACAGCTTCCTGCCTTTGACTGTTCAGACCGACAGCGCGCACATGGGCCACAACCACTTGCATAACTTTGGGTTTCCGCCAGGCCTAACGGGACAGCAGTTTTTCAATCACCTCGGGAGCGCGCACCCGTTTCTGTTGCACCCGGGTCAGTTCAACATGGGGGGCGCCTTCTCCAACATGGCCGCGGGCATGGGACCCCTGCTGGCAGCGGTGTCCTCGGGAGGGGTGAGCACCATGGACACGAGCAGCATGGCATCCTCTCCGCAGGGCCTGACGGGGGCGCCGGGCCTCCCGTTCCATCTGCAGCAACATGTCTTGGCATCGCAGGTAAAACCTGTTTTTTTCTTTTCTTTTTCTTCTCTTTTTCTTTTTGTGTGACCTGCTTGGAGCTCTCCTAAAGCACGTACTGTACGATGACACTGCAGACAGAGAAACTCACGTTCAGACTTCATATGTGTCGTGCGTAAAAGTGCGCGCGAACTATTTTGGTTTTACTCTTTACTTCCCTGATCTGATCAGATTCTTAGAAACCAGCTTTGACTGAATTCTTACATTAATGGTTAAAAAAACTTAGAGAAGCAGAGCAGCTCGAAGTGCTCATTAAGTTCGTGTTAGAGCTTAGTGTATTAAAATGTTTCACTGGCTTAGAGAAGGGGCTAAAAACAATGTTTTAAAAGGCAATAAATGTGTCTTTCGCCCTCAACTCTTGTCGAAACAAGTGTTTTAGCTGCAGCTTCTCTCGTTTGATGCCAGCACCAGGGATCAGTATTTGCATTACAAATTCTTGAGCAAGCAGCAAAAGTTGTTTGTTTACCTGCTAGGTGACATATCGTTTGCTGCAGGAGGATTTTTTTTTCACTTGGACCAGATTTTTGAAAACAAATAGGACACTCGCAGAAAAGTTCATTTTGAATAACATGTTAGAACGCAACTGGTGCGTTTTCCTTCTAATTGTTCCAGTTTTTTTGGTGCGTCGTTTGCGCACAGATCTGACTCAGTTGTGTTTCTCCACAGGGCATCGCCATGTCTCCGTTTGGCAGTTTGTTCCCTTATCCCTACACCTACATGGCAGCAGCCGCGGCCGCCTCCTCCGCTGCCGCCTCCTCCTCGGTTCACCGGCACCCGTTCCTGAACGCAGTGCGCCCCCGACTCAGGTACAGCCCGTACTCCCTCCCCATGACGGTACCGGACAGCACCCTGCTCACCACCGCCGTGCCCTCCATGGTCAGCGGCGGGGATCTGAAGGCGGACGGCCTGGTCCCGGCCAGCCCCGTGTCCGCCGTCACCCTGGACTCCACCTCGGAGGTGACCAGCCACTCGTCCGCCATCTCCTCGGGCTCCATGTCCGCGTCTCCGAAAGCGTGCGCGGAGAAAGACTCGGCCAACGAGCTGCAGAGCATCCAGCGCCTGGTCAGTGGGCTGGACTCGAACCAGGACAGGCCGAGGAGCGGCTCCCCTTTAGTGTGAGCAGAAAAAACAAACGCTGGCTGTTGCTGTCATTGAAAGTGATGAAGACTTTGGTGAGAGGAGGAGGACGCGCTGACAGAATCATGCAGGTTTTTAAAAGAAAAAAATCACAAAGCTAAAAACGTGAACCTTTTAGTTTCTGAAATGCACTTTGTTTAACTCACATCTTTTTTTTTTTGATAAATTAAACTCTCTTTCCTCTCATTTGAATACCGTACAAGTATTGAAACTGAACCGCTGGCATGAGTGTGACTTCTCCACAGCTTACAGAAAGGTTGCTGCTGTGTCCGGATGTCTCCTGTTAATGAACACGAGGAGAAACAAACCTAAAAACAAAAAAACTCAAATAAAAGATGCACTCTGAATCGAATTGGACTCATCTGAATTCTACCTTTCACAGACTGCTGTAATTTGTTGTTCTCATTGATTGTTCAATTGATGCATGGCCTTTAAACAATGTTTTTTTTGTCACTAAAATGTCAAACTAAAACTATAGAGAATATAATTACTTTTTAATTCTTTTTAAATTAGGGTTTCCGTTTCAAAATTTTATTTTTTTTTAAACAAACAACAAATTGGTGGTCCAGGTGGGAAATCAGGCGCAAAGCATGCGGGATTTAGGCCAAACCTGGCAAAGGGAAGCAGAAATTTAAAAGTAAATATTGAAAACTATGAAAGGTAGTATTGATTGATGTAAATAGGGATATATATAAAAATATTTATGTAATTATTTGATATTGTTGTTGCGTGTAAATACGACTAGTTTGTTTTTAGGGATTTGTTCTTAATTTATTCTCGATATATCTATGTAAAAATAGTTTGTGGACTATTATTCTTTTTTTTCTTTTTTCTTTTTTTTTTTTGGGACATCTGCATTTATATTCCCTTTACAAATGGACCCCCCCTCCCTTAAAGTCCCGCAGTTATTCACACTCATGGTGCCATTGTATTTTCACTCGTCCTTGTGTGCGAAGTGCTACTGTTTCAATGAAAAAAGGCGACGACGCACTGCACCCATGGCTTGAAAAAATATAAAATAAAAGAAAGAAAAAAATCATTATTATTATTATTATTATTTGCATAACTCTCGTTGAGGTGTGACAAAGTGGATTTCTTTTCCCCTGTTTTAAAAATTGCGAACTTGGTCGTTAAAAGAGTCGCATTCTCGAAAAATATGAAGGGTTTTTCTCTCTCTCTATTTTTTTTCTTTTTGGTCGTGTTACTTAAGTTGTCTGTGGGTTTTATGTTGTAATGGAGTTTTTGTCTAGTTTACAAAATCGACATTGTGTTTTGGAAAGTTTCAATAAAATATTGAACTGCTGCTTGAATGTGCGCATCGCTTTAATCCGCTTCAAAATGAGGGGAAGTATGAAAAATTGTCCCATTTTAAAAAGAGGGTTTTGGACAGTAAACGCTGCCGCCTTGTTTGTTTTATATATTTTGAGAGTTTTTACAAAAAAAAGCCCACTTAAGTAGCCAAAGCATCACTTTGAGATGCTTCAAAACTGTCCAAAATAATACAAATTATTGTCAATAATCGGATTATTTTGATGGCAGATGCTGGATGGATATTCAAAAATGACTTTTTATAATAATAAAAATACATCATCTAGACGTTTTGTGTAAAAACATATTTAAGATTAAATTGGCCTTTTTAATGTGATTCTTAAAAAGTGGTCCCCTCCAAAAAATATAGGGTTCAAACACTGATTTGCACTTTTAGACCACATGAAAAGGCCTCGTGTGAATATATGACACCATGACATCCAGTCCACCGCAGACGTGTTACTTTGAGACAAACGTGGAGAGAGTAAAGAAAAAAAAACCCTGATTACTCTCCCTTATTGCACCTCGAGTCAGGAGTTTATCAACACCGTATCTTCATTTGTATATTGTCTGGTTAATGTGTAGCGAGCCTGGCGCTGGTGAATAGGTGTAAACATGATACAAACTGTCTCAATGAGTCCGTCTTATTGCTCACCTGGCGCCTTCCATGAGCATATCTCCCGTTTTTATTGCACGGAAGGCGACGACGCGTCTGTAATTGTACCTGGACCGGACGCCCCCAAGCGGCTGCTGCAGCCCGGTGTGTGAACAGAGAGGAGCCCGCAGCACGGAGCAGATGATAAGGATGTTTGTCTTGGACACAAGTGATTTCTGTTTCATGTCTGGAGACAATCGATGTTTAATGGAGAACTGTGAAATTAATTTAGCACCGAACCAAAAAAAAAAAAAGGTCAGTTTGGCTGCTTCATCCCTGTGTGTTCATTAGTCTGATCCAGGATCAGCTCACAGGTGTTTTTGTCAGATATTTGAAGATGAAACTCTGAGATGACACCAGTTTAAACTCTTGCTGCCTGGACAAACGAACATTCTGCAAATTAAAGATTACAAATGGTCAACTTGCTGAATTATAAAACATGTTAAATTTAAAGGAGAGTTCAGTCATTTTATAGTGAGCTTCTGTGGCAAAATTACAAGTTATTATCTTACCTGTTTATTGTTCGAATAAGACTGGTGAGCTAAGAATGACTTTGGTGAAGAAGTCTCCAGATTGTTTTGCAACGTTTGCTTTGATTCTCAATTTCCTCGCATGACACTGCATGGCACACAGTCCTGTCGCTTCGATTTTGAATATGGGTGAAGAATTTTCTCTCAAAATCGCCACAGTTGGGAGTTCTGCACTGACAGAACACACCAATGTTCTGTCAAGTCAATAACAAATAATGCCTGCTGAAAACCCATTTTAAATCAGCCTGTCTTCTTTTCAAAGATAAACTAAGACATTAAAACATACAGGGGTGACTGCTGAGGTGTATAAGCCAGGAGGGGCATGGAAAACAAGAGGAGCAGGATTTATTTATTTATTTATTTATTTATTTATTTATTTATTTATTTATTTATTTATTTATTTGCTTTTTCAGTGCACTTCAAAATAGGCTGTGATTTTTTAACAAATGGCCTCACGAAGCAAAACATGGCCTCAAGGCCTGATGGCTGTTGCGAACACTCAAATTGTCAGAAGACTGCAAGTGAAAATTGCAGAAAGTTTGCTGGGCAATGGCAAGTTTTCAGATGCCGTCTCAACAACTCGATGAGATGCCAGCTTAAGTCATCATGCAGCCGGGAACAAGGTGAACTGCTGCCATCTTAGAATAACTCTGATTTAAAACATTTCATAGTGGTTTATGCAAACATTGTTTTAGAAACCATGTGCACCGCTGTCAGTTCCACAGCACAGTTATTTGATGTGGAGATTTATGGTTTGCAAGCCATATAACAGCAACAACAGCTAGCTGTAGCATTTCCTGTGCAAAACTAACAGCAGTGTAAAGATTTCCCTCACTGGACCTTAAAGGGATAGTTTGGAAATGAGGTTTTGTAGAAATTTTGTGAACATTTAATATTTAACTTTTTAATTATAACAAGGTAACGGCTAGCCTGATCAAGACCAAAATGATTTCTGTTGTCTTATAGTAACTTCAGCTGAAACAATTTCAAAGCTGATTCTGGAAAACAATTAAGTCAGTTTCAAAATATAAAGTTATTCACGTGAATTTCTGTGGTTATTTGTAAGCACAAATACAGCTAGCAGCACTTCTGGTGCAACCTGAGATATTGTTGCAGAAACATAAATGTTTCAGTCAAAATAACTGTAACGTAAAACAGGCAGCAGTGGTTCATAAATTTATGAAAAACTGAAATGTTGAGGATTGGAACTATTTTAAAAAGGCAGCAATCGTTTGGGCAGACTAGCCATTAGCTTGTCAGTCCTGTCAGATGCAAACTGTGAATGACCTCATTGGAGAAACAAAGAGATATCTGCAACAGGTAAGACTTTAACAGCTCACACAGAAACTCTGCTTCAGAAAGTCTGAAATTCCCTTTAAAATAATCAAAATAATGCTTCTACTCCCATTAGTGGCAGCTCTTGTGGTAGGCAGCTTTACCTGAACTGACCAGTTCCAGTCGCCACAATCATTTAAAGTTGTGTGGTCCTCCTGTTGGTCATGCTGCCTTTACTGACAACGGCCAATTGCACCATCTAGTGGCAGAATGTTATAACAAAGACAAATAAACTGCTTTTGTTTCCATTTCCAACACCTTCCTGTCATTCATGTGAAATAGTTTTAAATTTAGCAACACGTGATCTCACATCTATTCCAGCACCACATTTATGTAACATTACACTGAAATGTTTGACACAGTTTTACCAACATACACCTCAGTGTTACTGAGCATCTCAACAACCAATCTGGTTGACCTGAAAGAGCTGCATGTGTTGACTTTCATTATCAATAAACATGTACGCAACAAAAAGCAAACAGTAATGGCAAGATTATAATATGTAACCAAACCTTTACACAAGTGAAAAAAAGAGATTTACCTTAGTAAAGTTATTTAAAATTGTTTACAGTAAAACTCATTTAATAATTATGAATGATCTCTTTGGGAGAAAATACCTCAGCATTGGGAGAGTTGAGAGAAGAAAGTTTTACCTTTTGCTTGTCGAACTAAACAGTATTTTTAACGGCTGTGACACACACATTTGACGAATTTGGTGTTTTTGTTTTTATGGAGAAAAAAGTATTCTGATAGACTTTTCTTTAAGCTTTTGGTAAAACCCTTTTGACCTAATAGAAAAAGGAAATTCAAATGAATTACACAGAATGTATAAATCAAAGCAGATATTTCTTGCTTCACAAAAATTAAATAAAGACTAAATTTTTGACCCATAAGTTTGAAGCTGTTTAATAGATTTCACATGAACTGACAGTAACTGATGACAGAGAACTTTCATCAGGAATATGGCTGGTTTTTAAGGCTGCATTTGCAGAAAACTGCAGATTTAAAGTTTGCAATAAACAATAAACAGATGTTAAATACATGGCATCAGCTGCGCTGTTCTTGAAATAATTCCGTTGCTGTCCAACAGGAAAGGTAAGCTTCTGATAACGCTGTTAATTATAACTTAAAGAACGGCACGTTTGCTTCTATTTATGCACACACCACACCCAAAAAGAGCAGATTCCTTCTCATTCATGCTGATGTTTTGGCAACATTTATGATATTAAAAATAATAATACAAATAAAAAATATTAGAGAGATAAAATATGATGATTAATTCAGTCAAATGTCCAATATGATCTAATGATTTTAATCTGGTAATTATTTTAGCTATTGAACAGAATAGGCTGGTTGTATAGAGCAGCTTAAAGTAAATTATTTACATTGAAAACATGCAGAGTGTAAAATAACAGCCCTTTGTTATAGAATACAGAAGCTTATCAGATGAATAAAAATGTTCAACAGGACTAATGTGAGTTCCTTTCACATGAAGGCAAACTTTTTTGTGTTGTGTTGTGTTGTGTTGTGTTGTGTTGAAGGTAAAAGCAGCAGAATGCACTTTTGCAAGGGCACAGTGCACTCTAGTGTCCAAATCCTGTTACTGCAGCTCCGGTTGGTTGGAGCTAAAGTTCACTTAACCCTCCTGTTGTCCTCATTTTCTGTATACAMCCTTTGTCCTCCGGGTCAAAATGACCCGTCTCCACTAAATCCCCAATATAAGCAGCTTAAATGAATTTTAAACACCAAATTTCATCTTGTATWTTGTCATTCACCACAAAATGTGTGAATACTTGAGTTTTCCCTCTCCACTTGAATTTCTATAGCTTAAGAAAGGAAAAAAATGTGCAAAAAGGAGTTTCGAATGCATTTTTTATTGATCTCAATGAATCAATTTTCTTTTACTTTTCTTCAGTGAACAATTTAAGAGAATGTACAATACAAAAATATGAAAAATAACATAACCCATTCAACTAATTAGCACATGTAGGGCAGAATGCAAGTGCACAGCCTTTGCAGATATATTTTTTACACCTGCAGCATACAGTATGTTTTACAGTTCTTCTTTCGAGGACAGGACTGACATCTCTTCCTCTTACTTGCCCGAGCTGGAGAAGTGGTTGTGGTAGATGGAGCCTCAGGTTGATCAGGAGCTGCTGCACTCTGAACAGCTTTCATGACTGCTGCTGAGGCTTCTGTGTGCAGGAAACATGCTTCCTTCTTTCAATGAGTGGAGTTACAAGTGCCTTTCCAAGCTGCTCAAGGGAACACCCTTCTCAGAACGGCATTGTAGGAGGACACATCAATGATATTGTGGAAGATGACCAGGGGCCAGCGGGCAGTCATTCTTCTGCAGCTATATGTTCCAATCACCTTACAGTGGTTTGCAAAAGTATTCATACCCCTTGAACT